AGGATTGTATCAAATGTTTCACTGAATCCAAGGATTTCAGTGCTAAAGCTTCGTTTCAACAGAGTTTCAGTTTGTTCAACTGCGGATTCAATTATTTTTAATTGTTTTTCCACTTCTTCTTTTTTCTGTGAGAGAGATTCCAATAATTTCTTCGCTTGATTATCGACTGCATCAAAAACATCTTGTTTCCTCGCTTCGACTATTGCAATAATTTGGTCTACACAAGACTGCACTTGGCTTTTTACCTCGGTTACTTTCCATTGAAATGCGATGCTTCTTTGGTTGAATTGTTCGACTTCATTTTGTTTTACCCGTACTTTGTCTTTCAAAGATCGAATCACGGAGTTGATCTGTGTTTTGCGCTCATCAGTAGCTTCTTGCAAGGGCATCTTACCATGACCTTCATGAAGTGTCATAGCACAAGTGCTACAAATGGCGACTTTACAGTCCTTGCAAAAGAACTCCAACTCTTTGTTTTCATGGTGTTTCTTCTGACAAAATGCTGGTCGCTCTAAAACAGCTTTGATGTCTTGATCTTGAAAATCTTTCAGCGCTAACGTTCTGTGATCTTTATTTTCTCGCATTATGTTATGTCCTACAATACATTCTTCACACCAGAATGAACAACACTGGAAGCAATATAAGGTCTGGGCGCTTCGTTTGTCGCAGTTTCTGCATTTGACGTTGACTGTACTGCACTCTTTTATTGCTAAGACATCTAGCAAGCTGTTTATTCGAAAATTAGTGGGAAGTTCGCTGGGAGTTCCACTTCCAGAAATCTGAAACTGTCTTCTGCACTCGGGGCATGTAATTTTACCACGGACGCCGCTCGTTCGTTGAATTCCGTTCAGGCAATGAAGACAGAAACTGTGCAAACAAGGTAACTGCTTTGGATCAGTGAATGGACACATACACACAGAACAAGATACTTCATCATGAAGATTGTCCAGCAAGGTCTTTATATCCATGGAAAAGGTCGGGAACAAGGTTACTTTTTAAAAATTTTGGCCTCTAGTTGTTGGCGATTGAAGCTTCAAGAGAATGGCTTTGCAAATGCACAATGAAGTCTTGTTTTGTGATCCAGACAAAAAACACTGTATTATATTATTAACCAATCAAATAGAGTTTCTTCACATGTTTTGGTGGTTTGACAGAAGAATAAAAATCATGCTTTATTTCCGAGAATTGTTAATCAGCTCTTTGAAGCATGGATAAATTGTCGGCAAGCATTTCCGCGCGTCGAGGTGGTCAAGACTGAAGTCGGAGCGAGAGCAATATAAGAATGAAGGAGCTCTATCCCATTTCCTTATCCTCTACCTTCTTTTCTCTAGACTGTGTCAACGGCGAACTCAAACTCATCCAAAATCGCTTAAAAAACCGCTTTTGAGGCAAAAGGACGACTATACACCACAGGTAAGGTAATTCAACGTTTATTTATCATTGATTTAAATACATAGTTAGCAATATATCGCTATAGGTGAATCAAACGGTAAATCCAATACATTTACTATAAAATAACAATCGGCTACACAATAGATTGTGTGGGCCCCCTGTACCGATATATACTGTCCAACAAAATCCTCCAAAAAAAATGGCTGTTGCAGAAACTTTTTACAATTAAAATCTTTATTAGTATCTGTGGGCCTTTGGGCCAAGCTTAGACTTTCAACCGCAAGGGGGTTGAAAGTGCAGTGAAGTATAACAGGGACTGTTTTTCCTTACAAGTAAGACCAAGGTAGCGGAAGGAAGGAAGCTCCTCGTCTTTTATGGCGTGAATTCGGGGACAAAATTTTAAAAGTTGTTTTTTCTTCGTCTATTTTTTAGTAGACAGTTGGCATTGAAAATCTTAAAAGAGATGAGATTCACAAGGCGGTATAAAACTAATTCTGATTTCTTTTTTCAAACTTTTATTACAATTGTTCGGTCAAAGGAGCAATTATCAGCGATCATATTTTCGTTTGACGAAATACTGAATCTATAATTACGTAACATTCATTTTAATAGTTATTGGTTACAACGCTAATAAAATATTTCAGCTCATCAATTCATAAAGCCTTGTTTCCAATGACAAAAAGAAAGAACAGAGTCTATTCTCCCACTGTCATATTTCACATAAATACACTTTGTTTGCCCCACAACACTTTTTGTGGATCATGAAACGTAATAAATGTGAAAGTAGCGAGTAGAAACAGATTTGATTTCGTCGAAGACGCTCTAAACCTTCGGTAGAGACTATACAAATGATTCAGACGAGTGCGTGGGCAGCTGTAACGCAGGCTAAAACAGACTGGTAGTGCATGTTTTGATCAGCGGGCTTTCATTGTTAAACATATAACTTTTTTTACTTGTTTTTGATTGTTTTCTTTTGTTTTGTTTTGTTTTTTTTACTTCAATTATTAACTTTTCTAATAATTGTGAGTTTAAACACGCTTGTATTTTGGGTTTCTTCCCTCTACCTTCTTTACAATTTTTTTTTCCGTTTTTCTTTCTTTCTTTCTTTTTAGTCTCATTTTTTTTGCAATTTCTCATACGATCCCGGCTCTTCGCAGCCTCGTATCTTACCACAAAAAGTAAAAGTGCGCAAATTAGTTTTCATCTGCTTACCCTATTGTTGCTTACAATACGTGTTGCACTGGTCTTTTCAACTCCTTCGCCAAATCTCCGTCATAACTAAAATCCAGTCATGTTAAGAATGGTTAAAAAATCGTCCTGTTTTATAGATCAAAGCTTATGATAGTATAGCGCAGCAGATAAAAAGCGCGGGAAAAATTGCAAAAGCGGTGGTTATGCTGCGTTTTTTTGCAGTTCTGAATTCACATTCAAGGTAAATAGTGGATGAAAACTGGACGAATTTACCGTGGTAGCTGTACCATGGTTTGGTACTGAAACATGTACATTTTGCATTCCGCTGGCCATTCATGCGAGAAAGTTTTCTCTTCAAATACTTCCCTAAAGAAACACTGATTCACAATGCGAGGCTGATTCCAATTTGGAATAAATCCGCTGAATTCAAGCTGAGTGCCGATTCAAAACATTGTGAATCCTATTTTGGTAGGAAACACAGCAACGTGTGGTTCAGTACGCTGTCGTCTAAAGCGATACACGTTTTCCCAGCTCAATTTTTATTAAATTAGACAAAAAAGTATTTCAAAGGATACGCAATAATAAATCTTTTGAGTTTCCCTTGATATTCAAGGTCTTCCGAGAGGTAAATTGTCAGTCCACGTCCATGTGTTTCAAGCGTTGTAAAAAAATATCCAAAAAATAGCAAAAGGATTTCAAATATTCCAATTCGGTCAGCTTGTCAAATACATGAGACCATTTTCATTCAACTTTTTGCCAGGTCAGACTTGAATTTGTAGGAATGTAAATGAATTCAGAGCAAACCTTCTTCTTAGGCGACCCTTCTTCAGCAGTGTCCAACGCTTTTCAGTTTCTGTGGCTCATCATTTACTTTCTTCCTGTGGTCAACCTCTGATTTAGAGTCATTGTCCTCGTCAAAGCCATCAATATCATCATCATTACTTCTATTCTCATCATCATCATTGTAGTCATGTGGTTATCGTCTTTCACATCTCCTGCAGTATCTTCAACAAAAAATAATGGTCGCATATAATAATATAGTGTCCTTACCTTTCGAAGTGTTTGATTTGAAATAGGCTGTAGCTACTTGTTTATTTCCTTTGTAGCTAAGTAATGTTTGTCTAACAGTCTAAATTAGTGTCAAAAGTTAATTTCATTTCGTTGGCTGGAAAATACGGTAAAAAAAAACTGCAGGCTTAACCTGTTAATTGTGTAGCTCTATAAGTTCCAAACTGGTCCAAACTCAAAATTAAAGAGGAAACATGAGAAGGAAGAGTAGACAAGGTCAACCCAATAACTCCTCGATGCTCTTAGCTGCTGCCGACAGTTTTCTGGCCAGCATTAACGCACTCAAAAAGGCCAGTGCGCTCCAAACTTTGTTTTCGTTTCCGTTGCCTGTGTAGTAACACATACGTAATACTGTACACAAAATTTGGCGATCTCTTCGAACAAAGCTGTTCCACAAAGGTTCACATTGAGGTAAGTTTCTTTTCTTTACTTAACTTGTCATGAATAGAAAAAGCCACTCACTGTTAGATGCATTTGAGTTCTTGAATAAAACCTACGGAAAATGCAACAGTAATTGAATGAAAGAAGAGAAGAAGCCTAATGACAAAGCTCAGTAATGGTTTCAATCCAGTTTTTTTTAACACAGCTCAGAATTTGATTCCGCACGGGGAGCTACTTTATCAGGTGACACATAGCTGTCTGTGTGTGATTGTTTAAGCAAACTAACAGCTCATTAAAATGGACAACTGAAGTTGTCCCCTCCCACTACTTTCTACAAGGCGGACGCTTCTCTAGGGTAACAGTAATAAACGTTCCAACGGTCGTGTTTAGCAAAATAGGGTTCCTTATTGCAGGAGTCTCCTTAATCCCCTCTGTAATCCTCTCCTCTCCCCCTCCTCTTGTCCCTATCTTATCAGTTCTCCATAAAGAACTAGAATACAAAGAGGAGAAGCTGAAGAACAAGAAGTTTGAAGGTCATGCAGCCAAGGATCAGAGTCAAATCCGAACTACCACTTGGTAAATAAACTATCCCGGATCAGCCCACACAAAGTTTTACGGTCTTGATTGATTAGTACAGTCTATCATTTATCAGTGAAAAATAATTAGGGGAAGGAGGGATGGGCTTAATAGAGATGGGGGAAGGTTATTAACTTTCTTCCCCTGAAAAGGTTGAGCTTACTAGAGGCAAAGGGCTTATTAGAGAGGGGGGACTTAACAGAGGATTTAGGGTAAGATGAGATAAGGACATGGAGGAGAGGAGAAAACAGTTATCTGCTCTCGTGTCCTTCTTCTCCCCTCTCCTTCATGCGCTTGCTACGCAGGCTACACTTGCGTACAGCTTGTGGTACATACACTAAACTGAAGCGTTTATGGTAGATTTAACAGATGTCTACATTAATTGAACTAAAAGATTAACTCAGCCTGTAGAGCGTTTGACTGCAGGAGCGGGAAGTCACGGAAACGGACAAATACTGAGGGTCTTAAAATAACTAAGGAACTGAGTCAAACCCCGTTACTACAGACACTGAGGGGGGGTGGGGGGGGGGGCATAGAAAGTGTCCTTATTGAGGGGGTTGAATCAAGAGAAAATGTAAGGGCGTTTTTTCCCCCAGGGGCAAAAATGAGGTGTCTGTATTAAGAGGGTGTCAATAAAAGGGGTTCGCTGTGTTGCCCTGTCCTGAAAACTGCTCAGAAGACCTACACGTGCAGACTAGACGATCATTGGTCATAGAAATGATGGTGCATTCTCTGAGTAGAGATGTAAAAATAGTGTCCTCAATTAGACTCGCCTGCTAAATACATTTACACTTGAATGAAGTAAATCGTTACGTTTAACTTCAACACATGACGGTCTCTTTGACAACGATAAATTTGAACAAAAAAGACATTCTTTATAGTTTGAATATCCTTTAATGCATTTTCAACAAATCGTAATACAGTTCGGTTAATATATGTTGTAACTAACAGACCTGAAGAACCTGTTGAGAAAAAAATTGGTACTTGTGCTAGGGCTCGGGAATAATATCTCCAAAAATAAACTTGCTAACAACGAGCAACTGCTGGAAAGAAAATGAAAGGGTGTACAACTTAAAAAACAATTTTTATCGCTCAAAAAAATTGAACCACCTTATTAAACTAGAATCGGCAATTAGATGAGACTACAGTACATTTGAAAAAAGGTTACAAAATACATTTACAATTTGAATGTCATTTCAGCTATTATTACAGCCAGGATTTTATCATTTATTGTTACATTCACAGAAGAGACAAACTAATGCTTCGAATTGCTGCTAATTCTTCGAAAAATTACGGTTTCTTATTCTGGATACCCAATTTGAACTTTTCAACAATAATACCACTGGTAAGATCATAATTATATCTTGTCAAAAACCTGGATTAGGCTGTTGTTAAAATCACACACAACTATCTTTCCATCACTAAGATTTGCTGTTGACACTGGCAACTTAAACTCTCCTCTCTCACTACCTTCACTTCCAAACTTCGTAACAAACTTTCCACTCAGTTCAAATACCTGAACTCTGTGATTACCTCTATCACAGACCATTAGTAATCCTTCTTTGTTAACTGACAAGCAACCGGGCTCATTGAACTCTCCATCCTTGATTCCCTGTTTTCCAAATTTAGAAATAAACTTTCCCTCAAGATTAAACAATTTAATGGAATGATCACCATAATCTGAGACTATAAAATATTGACCGTGTTGGATACAGTGAGAAAAACTGACCAAAGAACCTGCTCCACCAAATTTACGTAAATACTTCCCAGTAGAAGAGAATATCTTGATTAATTTGTTATCTCTGTCAGCAACAATAATATCACCGTTATTGTTTATTGATAAGCCTAAAGGGTATTTAAGCTGATTATCACGACTTCCTCGTTCACCAAACATACTAAGAAAGTTACCATTCCTATCAAAGACTTGCACCCTGTGGTTACTACTGTCTGCCACTACAATATTGCCATGACTATCAAAAGCGATCCCTGCAGGGAACTTGAACTCACCATTATTCTTACCGAATCTACCAAACGATCTTAAGTGGGTACCGTCACTACTAAACACTGAAACACTGTTGTTCAAGGCACCAGTCACAGCAATTTCATCACGATCATTCACTGCCATCCCCCAGGGCCCGTTAAGCATTCCAACAAACTCACCTTTTTGTCCAAATGACAGCACAGATCTGAAGCGCCTGGTTTGTACCTGAGTCTCAAGAGGACTGTCACGAACATTTGCCCCTTTATTCCCAGCAATTACTTTACTACTTTCTTTACCTTTAGTTCCCGATTGTTGCGCTTTAGGTTCGTTAACAACAAATTCTACATTACCTATCCCCTCGCTCATGTTCAAAAGGTTAATCAGTTTTTCACTTTTAGTGAAACTATATCGAGGAATACATTCAGTGTCACGGTTTTCTTGACTGCTCTGTTCCCGCAGGATTGTATCAAATGTTTCATTGAATCCCAGGATTTCAGTGCTAAAGTTTCGTTTTAACAGAGTTTCAGTTTGTTCAATTGCTGATTCAATTAATTTCACTTGTTTGTCCACTTCGCCTTTTTTATGTGAGAGAGATTCCAGTGATTTTTTCGCTTGATTATCAATCACTTCAAAAACATCCTGTTTCCTCGCTTCGATGATTGCAATAATTTGGTCTACAAAAGACTGCACTTGGCTTTTTACGTCGGCTACTTGCGATTGAAGTTCGATGCTCTTTTGGTTGATTTCTTCCACTTTCTTTCGTTTTTCCAGTGCTTTGTCTTTCAAAGATTTAATAGTGGATTTGATCTGTGTCTTGCGGGCATCCGTAGCTTCTTGCAAAAGCATCTTGACATGATTATCATGAAGTGTCATGGCACAAGCGCTACAAATGGCGACTTTACAGTCCTTGCAAAAGAGCTCCAACTCTTTGTTTTCATGGTGTTTCTTCTGACAAAATGCTGGTCGCTCTAAAACAGCCTTGATGTCTTGATCTTGAAAATCTTTCAGCGCTAGCGTTCTGTGGTCTTTATTTTCTCGCATTATGTTGTGTCCTACAATACATTCTTCACACCAGAAGGAACAACACTGGAAACAATACGAGGTCTGGGAGCTCCGTTTCTCGCAGTTTCTGCATTTCACGTTGACTGTACTGCACTCTTTTATTGCCAAGACATCTAGCAGGCTGTTTATTCGAAAATTGGTGGGAAGTTCGCTGGGATTTCCACTTCCAGAAATCTGAAACTGTCTCCTACACTCGGGGCATGTAATTTTTCCATGTATGCCGCTCGTTCGTTGAATTCCGTTCAGGCAATGAAGACAGAAACTGTGCAAACAAGGCAACTGCTTTGGATCAGTGAATGTACACATACACACAGAGCAGGATACTTCATCATGAAGATTGTCCAGCAAGGTCTTGATATCCATGGAAAACGTGGGAAACAAAGTTACTTTAATATTAAGAAGTTTGGCCCAGTTGTTGACGAACAAGGGAATGGCTTTGCTAATGAACAATGAAGTCTCGTCTTGTGACCCAGACTAAAGCGGCTCTGTATTATTTACCAATCAAATAGAGTTTCTTGACATGTTTTAATGGTTTGATGGAGGAATAAAAAACATCCTGTATTTCCGAGAATTGTTAATCAGCTCTTTGAACCTGCCGTCAAGGGTTTCCGCGCGAGGTCGTCGTGAAGAAAGTAGAAGCGAGGGCAAAAAAGAGTAATGAAGAATCTTTCCCTCCCTAAATCGTTCGGAAAAATTTGCTCAACAGGCTAATGCATTGACTGTTGAAATTTTTTTCACATTTGTGTACATTCAACTAGCCTACGTGAAACAGCACCCTCCCCTACACGTAGGTACACTGAACACATTATGAACACACGCCTACAATCCTTGGATAGAGTTTCTTGACATGTTTTGATGGTGTGACGGAAGAATAAATAACGTCCTGTATTTCCGAGAATTGTTAATCAGCACTTTGAAAGAGCTTTCTCTCCCTATATAAGATTCGTTCGGAAAAATTGCTACGCAGGCGATAAAAGAATGGACTACTGAAATTTTTTGAATATTTGTGAACACCAGAACACTCAGAACGTTACACACGCGTACAATTCTTGGACAGATATTAACTGGGAAAGAAAGTCCCCGTTGGCCCAAAGTCAGACTCACAAAAGCCACGCGAAAGACAAAACGCGCCATTTCCCCATCTTTTATTTTACAGGATGGAAGACGGATTTATTTTCCATCGAATTTTGTCCAAGATAGTGCTCGTTAATCTGAGTGTTTTCAGCAAATACATTAATCAACCTTCGGTCAAGTCTCCTTGGCTGCGCAACAAAATCCTCCAGAAACAAAGGTAGTTGCAGAAAATTTACTAACTTTTAAGCTTCTGTGGGCCTTTTGGCCAAGCTTAGACTTCCAACCACAGAGGGGTTGAAACACATCTAATCAAATCACATCTCCTGTAGTCTGTGAACAGGCCTTCAGTCGAGCGGGGAACTGGGGAGAGGGAAAAGCGAAAAGGCCTCTCTACCCCTTTCCCTTCCCTCTCCTCGCGATTTTTTTCCCCCGAACAGAGAGCCTGTTCACAGGCTACATCTCCTGCAGTATCTTTAACAAAAAATGATGGTCGCATAGTGTCTTTATCTTTCGAAGTGTTTGATTTGAAATAGGCTAAAGCTTACCTGTGTATTTTATTGTGTAGCTAAGTGGGGTTTGTCTAAAATGGGGTCAAAATTTGAAGTCATTATATTTCGTAGGCTGGAAAACAAGGGAAAAAAAGCTGCTTCCTTAACCTCTAAATTGGGTAACTCTAAGTTCCAAACTGATCCAACCTCAGAAAGAGGAAACTTGAGAAGGAAGAGTAACCCTACACTCCTCGATGTCTGATGAAACGCTCAAAACTTTATTTTTGTTTCCGTTGCATGTGTACTAACACATACGTAGTACTATACATCAAATTTGGCTATCTCTTTGATAAAAGCTGTTCCAGAAAGGTTCACCGCAGTACTAAAGTTTCTTTTCTTTACTTAACTTGTCATTTTAGTATAGAAAAAGCCACTCACTGTTAGATGCTCTTCAGTTTTTGACTAAAGCATGCGGAAAAAGAGTAACATTAATTGAATGAAAAAAGAGAAGAAGGCTAATGACAAAGCTCAGCAAGAGTTCGAATCCAGTTTTTTTAATACAGCTCGTAATTTGATTCACGGCGAGCTCAGCTCCTCCCCAGCCACTTCGTTCTTCCCACGGTATTTCATAGAGGCGAGCGCGAAACGCGAGTGACTGGTGACGAAGAGCAAGGGACCAGCGGTGAGCTACTTTATCAGGTGACACAGGGCCTACAATAAGCGCAGGCGCAATTTCGAACAAGCGAGCCGCGCAAAGTGTGTAGCTGCCTGTGTGTGATTGTGAAAGCAAACTAACAGCTCATTTAAACTCTGGAAATATTAATTGGTCTCCTACCATCACTCTCTAAAAGGCGGACGCCTCTGTAGAGTAACAGTTATAAACGGTTCCAACGATCTTCGCAAACAGTTGAGCGTAACAATATTAAACAGAGCGAATTCTAGTATGCGCTCCCAGAAAACACCTGCAGTGTCCTGATTTGATCATTTGGACTTCACGCGTGAGGAGCCTGGGACGATACAAAAAGGAATTGAACTCTGGGACAGTTTTGGAGAGAACACCGCTTTTATTGGCTATCGCAAGAGGCCTGCAAGGTTGCCATCACTTGTGTGAGTGGTTGGTGTACTAAACTCCGCTCCTGTTATCTCCTTGGCTTTCTACAGAAACAAAAATAGAAGTCAGAATGTACTTTTCTGTCGGACGAGAGGGCTTTGCAATGACTAAGCCGTCTTGCAAGGGAATTTTTGTGGCCAGCGACCTCGCTACTCGTGGTAAGGACAATGGAACTCGCGCGCGAACTTATCATAATAAAATAAGACCAAGATCAATATGTGACGGTAATTTTCTCTCCGACATAGTCGCAAATTTCTTATTTAGGACTAGTTGTGGCCAGTGACGTTCCATTGTTAAGGAACTGATGTTCCTATTTAAGCTTTTCTTCTGATGGAAGTACGTGTTTTTCTTCGAGTAGTTATGTGTATTTCAAAGTCAATTTGCTACGGTAGCCTCTTCAGTTCCACTACGACAACCTATTCAGTCGGAATTGTTACAAAATTCCTCATTTTAGAGGGAAAAAACGTTGTTTGTAAAACTCATAGTAGCTGATAATTATCCAGTAATTAAGCTTGTACCTTTGGATCTGTAACAACCAAGTCTGGAACTAAACTGCAATGAACACTCAGCCATGATGGAACCTTAGGGGAGTCCTACACAAAATCGCTCATCATTTATAAATAATAATTTTAAAAATTCATTACAGCTCGTCTCTAACTATTGGACGACAAAGGCCCAAGGTATTGTAAGCGACGACCGATTAGACCCTCGATCTATACGACCTATATGGATACCTTCAAACAAAAATAGAGAACTAGAAATGGAAGAGTTAAGGTGAAACGATAACCTGACAAGTAGCCATTGCTCAAGGATACCTTAGGGTTAACCTGTGTGGAGAACATAAAAAGGGGACGGCTAGAGAGAAGGGGAGGGGATTAAATGAGGAACCCTTTGTTGCGAAACAGACTGAAGATAAGTTAAGGACAAGAGGAAAGGAGAGGGGAGAGAACCTTATCTGCTCCCATGTTCTTTTTCTCCCCTCCCCTTCATCCACTTGCTACGCAGGTTTCACTTGCGTACAGCTTGTGGCACATGCCCTGAACTGAAGTGTTTTAAGAGATATCTACCTTTATAGAATAACGAAGACAGCACGCGCGTTCTGATTGGTTAAAATCCTATGGTTTATTGTGCCCGGTAAACTCAAAGAAAACTTTAAGTTATTTTATAAAAGCAATGGACCACACTTTCTATGAGTTTACCGGCGTGATAACCCACGCGGGATGTTGGGAGAACACTCGAAAAGCTTGTAACTCACGAGCCGAGGGGATTATCACCTCGGTAAGTCCATATAAAGTGTGGTCTATTGCTTAATAAAACTCTTTGTCGTCTGCTTTGGTCGTTTTGGGTCCATATGGACCCATGCATATTATTCTCCCTGGACCCCTTGGGCTTTCAATTCTAGCTATTAAGATGGTAATTACCAATATCGGCGAGGATAGAGCACATGTCCACGTGTACATCATTTAGCAAATTTTGACCAATCTCAAAGCACCTGACGGCTCAAATTGATTAAGGCTTGGTTCTTTACAAATTCCTCAGAATTTTGAAGGGAAGTGGTCACATGTAACTTTTCTTTTTTTAAGATACCGTAAAATTCCGAAAATAAGCCCTTCCATGTATAAGCCCCTTCAAATATAAGCCCCCCAATCCGGTGACGCAAAAAACCCTCCGTTAAGGCGCCCCTCCAAATATAAGCCCCTCGGGGGCTTGTACTAGGAAAATTGCCCTCAAAAACAAAGTAAAACAAAGCAAAAATGGTAACTTTACTTCCAACTATAAGGCTAGCCCAATCGATTTTGAAACGCATATTTCCCTCCGAAAATTAACTCCTCAAAAAGGGCCTTTGAAAAATATAAGCTCCAGTTCTTATTTTCGGAATTTTAAGGTATCCCAGTTCTAATAAATTAAGGCTAATTATAACTAAGAAATCTTCAAAGTTCATTTGAAAAATTGTTTATAACTGCATCACGTAACCAGCCACGCCCTTTTTTATCTAGAAGTCCTTTGGGTCGCAATGCAAACTATGTAGAAAGCAAACGGTTTTCCTTTTGTAGGTCCAAAAAGTGGCTACCGGTAGTGTTCTTGAAAAAAGATTGGAATGAGACGAAAGTGTCCATATTAAGGGGGTTGAATTAAGAGAAAACTGTGTACGGGCTTTTTTTTCCCAGGGACAAAA